GTATTGGACTAATTAACTCGATTATCCCACCTTGTGCTTCAGAGCTCCCCCAGGCACATAATCGAGGAGCGAGCTTCACCCTTGTCTTTGTTGCAAACTGTAAGTTTTCATTCAGACTAGTGGGGAATGGTTGTCGGATTGATAAGAGATCAAATAGTCCCCGGTTTCATCCTAGTGTATTGGATCAACTTCGGTGTTCGCAACACTGGGAAGTAGTTCTGATGGCACTTTCCGCTTGCCTTCATGACACTGCCGTCTATAATAATCCCGTCTCCCCCAATCTTCTCTCAGATACCCCTCGCTGGCTCATGGCCAATGGCCGTGAAGATGAAGCTGTCGAAGTTCTGGCCAAACTGTCAGGAGACCCTGCAAGCAATGATGCCGGTTGGGTGGACGATGTAGCACGGTAAAAAGGAGTTGTGTAGGAAATCATCACAAAAGAAAAATCTCCTCAATATTGACATTGGTTGTTACTCCAGCGAATTGAATTAGGAATAAGAGTTTGGATGAGGTTTGTCCTTCAACGAACTACCTTTTTCGCTGGCATTTTGTCTATCGCTATATAAGCCGGCATCTTGTCTGCACTTGCTGGTTTCGATTCAAAAAGTTTTCATAGTTGGCTGGACTGGTAAATACCTTCGGGCTTTTTGGCACTGCTGCAGCTCTAAGTCGATGAATCTGGCTTCTTTTCCGATTTTGTCCTCCTCAATGCTGAAGCGATGATCATCTACGCGCTCGTAATTGATCTTTTGGGCCGCATCAAATTCCTCCAGGTTTTATTCATAGCCCAAGGCATGCCTCTCTTCATCCAGGTCTCCCTAATCCGCAGTGCCGAGCTCTCACCGGAGGGATTTGCCAAAGCACGATACTGGTAATTGCCTGGGCAGCAATGGTGTTCATTTTCCTCTGATGTTTCACCATGTTCAACATTGGGCCATCTTGGATTTATGCAACGAAAGTCTGGCTCCAAGAGATTCGTTCCAAGGGATACGCTGTTACAATTCTTGAGTGGGTGGTCGGCTGTGGAGCAAATATATTTATCATTGCTATAATGGTCGACAGCTGGGAAGGAAAGCTTTGCTGGTGTTTGGATGTTGCATCATCTATATGCCGCTCAGATGGTTTTTTTCTCAGAAGTTGTGAGGAAGCCGCTCGAGGCTTTGTCATTATTCTTCCGTGCTGGCTCAGCACTGGCTAGCCAGAATGTAAGAGAATATGAGAGAATGATGGATGAGGCTGGAGGTAGTCTGGCCGTCGCTATAAGTCGTCTGTTGGACAGTGTTGACGGACAGAATTGTGAGCCTGACAAGAGAAGAATTAGCTTTAAGAAGGAAGAGCCGTGCATGATTCATGCGAAGGAAATAAATGTCCGCTAGAACTCTAATTGAGGAAACAATGCCATGACATTTTACCCTCCTACGCAGCTATATCGAGCTTAAATTTAAAGCGTGTTTACATTTCTGGCGCAGTATCTGCATCCCCAACGGAGGCTGTGATAACTCAATCTTTGAAGGTGAAAACCCCGAAGGGGGAGGGATAGACGAGACGAAAAAGCGGATGAGTGGAGGTCACGAGGACCTGACTAAATGAGGGAATGGGGGAACTCTAGGGGCATAATGCGCTTACTACCGATCTCACAGGCCTTTCCTCTCTCTTCAACCTGGTTCCTTGATTTAGCGTCCTGGTATGTAAGGACAAAGTAAAAAACAATTTCCGCCATACTTTTCTGGCGCAAAAAAGCACACGAGAGAACGGATCATGTCTCCTCGGCTCCAGCCTCGGCTCCAGCGAACTGGTTCCAGTGGATTATCGTTCCGAGTTCGTCTCGACCGGAACATAGCAATTCATTGAACCAATAAATAAGTCTAAGTCAATGGCCGAGCGAGACGAGCAGACACCGAAAATGCGGGGAAGCGGGGAAGCGGGGAAATAGGCGTTTTGCAATTCGAGCGTTGAATTTTAAAAATAGCCGAACAAAGTAAGAACCAAGCAGAAAGAGCATCTCTGCTTTACCAAAACCAGTTAAATCTGGCGTATGGGACGACGACCACGAAGAGGGACAACGTCGTTCTAAATTTAAGACCGATATAATATATTTTTCATCAATCTTATTGTTGTCTCATCCTTGCCAGTGAGCTATGGCCCGCAAGTTCTGGGAGCGCATGAGCGGCGCTCAACTCGTCTTCCTGGTCAACTTCGTCGTAGCCTGGGGCGTTTTCTTCGAAGGATGGAATCAAGGAAATATGGGTTTCGTCAACAGCGCCCCTACATACCAGTTGAAAATGGGTCTGGGACCCGGTGATGGTACCGTCACTAACCCAACCAGAGAGGGTGGCATTGTCGCGATCTATTACCTCGGGGGAACGATTGGCGGGCTCTGGGGCGGTCACATTGCTGATAAGTATGGTCGTGTGAAGGCCCTTATATTGGGTGCGCTATTTGTTCTACTTGGTGGATCACTGATGGTGGGTAATCCCGACTTACACTAAATGGTATCTCGTCGGACGGCTCATCATATGTTTCAGGCTACAGCGGAAAACATCGCCTGGATGTGCTGTTCCCGCGTCATCGCGGGGCTCGGCGTCGGCTTCTTTATCGGCATCATCCCTGTCTGGTCTTCCGAGATCACTTCAGCTCGCCGCCGCGGGTCTCACTTCTCCCTACTTTGGTGCGGTAACTTCCTCGGCATCTTCTGTGCCTACTGGGTTGGATATGCCCTCTCATTGGTGGACGGAGGCAACTCCACAATTCGCTGGCGACTACCCCTCGCTTTGCAGGTGGTCCTCCCCGCCATCATGATCCCCGCCATCTGGGTACTGCCCGAGTCGCCGCGTTGGCTAATAAAAGAAGGGAGGAATGAAGAATCCTTGAGGATTATAGCTATCTTACGCGGGGACGGGAACGCAGATCATCCGGACGTGAAGCGAGAATATATCGATATTCTGAAGACATTCGAGGAGGATAAAAGACTGGCCGATTTCGACTCGTACTGGCACCTCGCAACGGATTACAAAAACGGCGGTTTACATTATGGCCGTCGTGCGTTGCTGGCGTTTGGAATTCAGATTTTGGTCGAGGTTGGCACGGGCATTGCCCTTACGACCATTTATGCACCGACTGTATTCAAGCAGGCCGGATTTAGCACGGCCAAGATAGGCTGGCTATCTGGCTTGAATGGTGCGATGGGTCTGGCCGGCACTGCTGTCGCAGCATTCTTCTGCGACCGCTTTGGAAGACGGATGAATCTGATGGTGGGAAATGCCCTGTTGGGTACGTGGATGTGGATTTACGCAGGGGTGAGTTACGCACCTCGCACCCAAATTTCTCAACTCATGAAACAAAAACTCACAGAAAATGATAGCTCTCCAAGGGTGCCCTCGACCATCCCGCCCAACAATCTTCATACGGGTCGGCCGCCTCTGCCATGATCCTCATCTTCACCTTCACGCTGTGTGTCTTCTGGATGATTCCCTGTTTTATATACGCGGCCGAGATCTTTCCCACCGCGCTCCGCGCTAAGGGTAATGGGTTTCTCGTCGCCGGATGGGGGCTAGGCATTGGCACTGGGGTGCTGTGGTTTCCGATCGTGGTTGAGAAGCTCGGATATAAGACTTTCTATATCTTTGGCGCTGCTAATTATGTCTGGATTGCAGTTATATATTGTTTCCTCCCAGAGACGGCGGGGAGATCGCTGGAGTCGATTGACTTACTGTTCCGCTCTGACTCGTGGTTAGCATGGCGTAACGAGAAGGATTATGAAAGATTGGCGAAGGAGCATGAGGAGGGCGTTGCGAGAGGCGTGGAGCTATTTGAGAAGGCTGGAAATATTGTCGAAGGTGTTGAACAGAAGGAGAGAGAGCGGGTCTAGACCTATCCCATTGGAGTGAGTGGAATGGTTTCGTTAACTATGAGAGCCTATTCGTTCATACCAGTAAAAAGTCAGTCTCTATGCTAGTAGGCTTTTTGTGATCGGATCCCTATTTAAGTGAGGCCATCTGACCCACACTCTGGGATAAGAATCTCTGGAACCCGCAGGCTCTGCTAACCCGTATTAAGGGTGGATGGTTTCCCCTCCCCCAGTTTGCGGTCTTCTACAGGCTTTCTCGAAATCGCCTTGACCGTTATGTAGGAAAAATAGGTGCGTTGTCTAGGAAAAATAGGTGCGTTGTCTAGGAAAAAGAGGTGCGTTGTCTAGGAAAAATAGGTGCCCCCTCTCTCGGGCAGCCCTCTCGCTCTCGATTGATAGATCACTTTGCTTAGTAGACGTTGGTAGTAGTTGTTCACCATATACTCATACCTGTCCAAAAGTTTCCTGACACTTCAAAATTCCACTTTCTTCACCTTTTAATTGATCGACTTTTCTCAAGCCCCGACCGATAAAATTATCTTTAAAAAGTATATCTAGATACTTTCTTACCTATATTCTCTTATTATAAGTATAACTATTGAATCCTCTATATAAACTAAGAATTAAGGAATTTTAGGTTTATTACAGGTTGTGTACGAGTATTATTTAAGCGGTTATTTATGTAATAAATTATATAGTATCGTATTATTTTTGGGACATAGACTATCTGTTAAGAGTGAACTACTTGCAGGGTAGAAAGCCTGTCAACTAGGTAGTAGAGTAAAGCACCAAGTCAGATTATGGCAAAGACTGTTTCTTGAGGAAGAGAAATCCCACTTCCTCAAGCATCAATTTAAATATGTTTCTTTACTGCAAACAGGAATCAAACACGAAGCAAGGGGGAAATCATGTATTCTTGTCGGCTTCCCTGTCATGATTATTGTATTTGTGGTGTGGGAATGCTTCCAAGGAGAACGAGCTGCTTTTTCACCGCGCTTGATGTCGAACCGCCTCATCCTTTTGAATTGAATCTACTCGTTTCCTTTCGCAGGTTTATATTCTATCATGATCTATTACCTTCCTTACTACTTCCCGAGCGTTGAGAACGTCAGCCCTACCATGTGGTGTACGAAACCTTCCTTTGATTGTCTCGATGTCGTTGGCTATCATTGTCTCCGGTGGCAGCATCACTAAAACTGGTCATACTGTTCCTCTTATGGTTGTCGGTGGAGTTCTTGCAACCATCAGTTCTGGGCTATTGTACTCGCTGGACATAGGTACAGACCCAGGCAAGTGGATTGGATACCAAATTGTCGGCGGAGCTGGATATGGATTGGCCTACCAGGTTCCCATCATTGCAGTACATGGTGCAGTGGCTCCCATTGATATTGCATCCGTGACGGGTTTTATCGTCTGTGAGTAGTTTTGCCACTACTTCTTGTTTATCCGATGAAAACCCGTTAATAAAACTCATCTCTCAGTCTTCCAAACTGTCGGGGGTGCAGCTTTCGTGGCTGCAGCACAAGCTGCCTTCGTCAACCAGATTATCTTCAAACTTGCCGCAACCGCACCGAGCATCAACTCGGCCTTGGTGGTCTCGACTGGTGCGACCGAGCTGCGAGACGTCTTTACAGCTGAGCAGATGACTGCCATTTTACCTGCCTACATGACGGGTCTCAAGGTCGCTTTCTCCATTTCGATCGCTGTGGCGGGAATTGCTTTCTGTTTCAGCCCATTCAACAACTTTAAGAAAACTAACGCCTACACGGTAGCAAAAGGCTCTAAGAATACACCTATCGGTGTGACTGTCCAATCCTCTTAGTCTTATCAAGGTCTTTCTCTTATATGGCATATTTAGATCTGTGTTTACGGTACGTCGGGTTTATGCCTAGGGTTAGGCTTAGTTACTCGGGACTTAATAACGTATTTCATAGGCGAGCGGGCCACCCAACCGAGCGGATCACCCCAAACTAACATACTAATTGTAAGATTCCGCGGTAGTTATTCCTAGGAGCATTTTCCGTTGAACTTTTCCCTAATTCATTCACTAGATTTATAACTACGCAGGTAAAGATGATGGTGTGTATTCCTTAGACGGGACTATGAGGCTTGAGAAACACTCTGGCCACTTTACGGGTATCTATAAAATCCTATATCCTTTTACGATCACCATAGACAAAGATGTCCTAGCGTGATAACGTTATGTCTTGGTCGCTATGCTAAGTGGACATATCCACCGCTAGTCCCTGTCATGGTATTCTCGAATTTAGGTAGAACAAAAAAGGCAACCGATCGAACATTTTATGATTTGTTTCTTCAATGGCGCCATGAATGATTCTATTTAGTAGGCCCAGCCCTCTCCGAAAACTCTATAGACTCATCCTCCACGCTCAAATGCACTGTTCTTAGGATATGAAGCCCTCGACCGGTGTCTGATCTGTCCATGATCGGAGTCTCCTCTCTTTCCCACCCCTTGAGCTGCTGGTCACCCACGCTGCCACGGCGCGACTGGCGATGGAAGCCCGAATCCTTGGATTTAAGGATCCCCGGCCTGGATCCAGACCGGGATGCGCTTTGGAACCCAGATTTAGAGGGGCCTCTATACGTGTATGAGATGCCATAGTCATCCTCGTAAACGGCAATGAAAGATTTCAGAAAGGCTGTCAAGAGACAGCACACGCTGAGGGCTAAGTATATCTCCGTGCACACGGTTGCGAAGGCTCCGATGAGTGTTGGGGTTTCCGACTCGAGTTGTTCTTTCACATAATGAAGTCGGACCGCAGCCAAGGGAATCAGTCTATCTCGTGTCATTATGATTTGTAAAACGGGGACAGGGTTTTTTTAAATGGCGGAGAGGCCCACATCATTCGACTTTCGAGAGCACAGAATACGATGACCTTTTTTTTCGTGGATATCCTGACCTTGTTGATTGCTAGTGCCGTATAAACAAGAAGAGATACCTCAGTGAAAATGTCGATAATGGTGACTGCTTCCCAGCGGGGGTACTGTAACGTCGTAGAATATTCAGCTTCCTGAAACGCACGTCCAAATTCTCATTGGAGCGTTGTCTTATCTTACCAAACTGCTGCACTGGGTGGCACTAATCTCGTTCCATGGGCTGGAAGTACAACGAATAGTCAAAAGGAAGAGAGAAAGTAAGGTCCAGATTACCACCCCCAGGAAAAGGCCCCGGATGAATAGGCGCTGTCTCTGAGAGAACAGACCCTCATAGAATATGCAAACAGTTATCTTCGAGAGGCCCAGCACAATTACAGAGAAGATATCTGCAGCAAACCCTAACTGCTCAAAGGGTCAATATATTGGTCTTGTTTATCCAATTCGCGATTTTTCATGCTTTTACTCACCTTTAGCATTCGTATATTGTCGTGCGCCTCGATAGATTCGCTTCGAGTTCCCCATCCAAAATGGACCTCTGCGAACACCAGCGCTACCTGTATGAGGGCAGTGATCTATTAAAATGTTAGTTGCGCAAAGAAACTTTGTTCTTCGTCTTCAATCGCTGGCCACTTTGCAGAGGAATCATACCACAAGCGCAACAAATGTGTGATCATCTGTCGACAACTTTCTCTTCTGACCCGAGTAATAGATCCGTGCTGTGATAGCGACGATGTATAGACACAAACACACCGCGGTAAGGACCACAATTAAACCGCTGTGGTTATTGTCGTTGTTGACCGTTAGCGGTGCACTGACATCTGAAGCCCATGCTCTCGTAAACGATGACATGGCCAGCCAACCTCCCAGGAGGAGCTACAAAGATGCCGGAGAAAGGTGAGAGGCGGTCGGATCCCTTATTCAAGAGGTATCGAATGACTTTCGGGGCATTTTCATGTTATTTGAATAAGATTTTATTTTTATTTTTTTTTTGTTACGTGGGCAATGGGCATACGGCTTGCATGGGCGTAGGTAAGACTTTTCGAGCGACGGACAATAAAGCAAGCTGGAAAGGAGTTACCAAGTCACATTCGAATCTATTTGGAATCAGCCAATCGTGATGCAACATTAGATGATCAGGATCATTGTTAGTTAGTAGTGCTGACTTGGTGCACAATTTGCAAGTGGCGCCGATGTACTGGTGAGGGGCAATCCAGCGAGCAGGGATGTGAATCCTTCGCTAATCTCGTACGACACCACCCCCTTTTTATCTCTTTTTCTGTGGCGGAAGCACTCCAATCAAGAGGCACAGAAAACGAATTTAAGAAAGCAATCTCAGAAAGAGAGTTTTTACTCTTTCTGCTGCCCCTATGGCTCTGTAAGCCAACAATGTCATTGATTGCGGCAATTCTCGAAGGATTGATTTGACCACAATGAGTGGTCCGAGATAAGTCAACGCCCCCGAAAAGAGCACTAGAGCTAGACTAGTAGAAGCTAGTAGGAAGAGCCGGCCAGCCCCAATATTTGGATTCTTCTAGCGGCCTAGCCGAGATGTCTAGGCCGATTAAGCCCGGGAACTGCTGTCGTCGAGCCGATTAGCTCAGGTGGAAGCACTAAATAGCTCTTCACTCGGCATTGGCCACTGCATATTGCATGACCGAGGCCACGCATCCCGCCCCACCCCCGAAGCTTGAAGTAGGACGGAGGCGCATGGATGTTTGGGTTAGTATCGAACCCGACAATGGACTGTTGGCGACTCTAATCCGGACGAGTTTCTTGAAGCTGACTGTCTCCGACGCCGCAGTCTGCAACCCCCCTACGTCGTACTTTGGTCAATACCCTCGTCGCATCTGCCACTGAAATACACTATTTTTCTGAGACCAAGAAAATACCGTGATGGTGCACCGTAATGGTATTATGAGGCGATTCGAATGGGGGCTCGCCTAGCCGAAGCCCAAATAGCCTCTTGCGCTTAAATTATTTTTTTCTTTCCACTTATCACTGGCCCTTCCTATATAACAACATCCACGCCCTTCCCCCTTCCTCGCTCTCTGCACTGACGCTCCTCTGGCTTAGTTATACATCTGGTTGCCATCGTGATGGAGGTCTCGGGTAAAACGACCGCTATGGAAATGGTGGATATGGAGTTCAATCGCGGGGATACGGATGTTGCTGAGAAAAGCGGAACTGCGGGGGACTACGACGAAATGAGTCGCATGGGAAAACTCCAAGAGTTCAAGGTATGCTAATCTCTAATCTGGATTCCGGAATTGGGTAAGTTCCCTAGCTGACAAGGTCTATTTGATCTTATGTAGAGAAATATGCGACCACTGGCCGCGTTGAGTTTCGCGTCGGTCTTGCAAGCAACCTGGGAATATCTCATTCTGTGAGTAAATTTCTAGTCGAGTTATTTAATTCCTTGAACGCTCTGGTGTAAGTTGGAGTTGAAGGCTAACTTGATATAGTTCTAACTATACGGGCTTGGAGGACGGGGGCCTGCCTGGAATGTTCTGGTCATATATGTGGACATTCGCCGGATTTGGATTCATCATGGCCTCGCTTGCCGAAATGGCATCTATGGCTCCTACTGATGGAGGCCAATATCATTGGGTGTCGGAGTTTTGTTCTCCTCGACACCAGAAGTTCCTTAGCTACATTACCGGTATGCGACTCTCCTTGGCCCATATAAGCCATCGGCGAATGTTGAACGATGAAACTAACTTCAATATAGGCTGGATGTCTGTCCTAGCATGGCAGGCCGGAACTGCGTCCGGGTCCTTTCTCACCGGCACGGTAATCCAGGGTTTGATCAGTGTCCGGGACCCAGATTATACATCACCAGGCTGGCAGGGCACTCTGCTGGTGTTTGCGATGGTGCTCGTGATCTACTTCTTCAACGTCTATGCGTCAGAGTTAATGCCTATCCTAAGTAATCTTCTGATGCTTTTCCATGTTCTGTCATGGGCCGTGATTCTGATCATGCTCTGGGCTATGGCCCCTCATCGGTCTGCCGAAGCAGTTTTTGTCTCTGACTGGCAGAACTTTGGAGGGCTGCAAACCATGGGCCTTAGCGTAATGGTTGGCCAGATTTCGGCTATTTACGGCTGTCTCAGTACGTGCTTCTTAACTACCATTAGGTGCAGATCCGCTTCTCTACCCCCCTTGCTAATTCTCGCCGGTAGGTTCCGATGCATGCGCCCATATGTCCGAAGAAATCAAAGATGCCGGTCGTAATGTTCCGAATGCGATGTATTGGGGATACCTCGTGAACGGTATCATGGCCGCTATTCTTCTCGTCGCCTACCTCTTCGCTACCCCATCAGTGGAAGACTCCCTTAACGATGCGTCGGGTTTCCCATTACTTTACGTGTTTAAGCAAATGACCTCGACGGCCGGTGTGAACGGCCTTACGGCGATTATCATTTTACCTGTGATATTCAGTAACGTTATGTTCAACGCAGCTACCTCCCGCCAAACGTGGGCTTTCGCTCGTGATAAAGGACTTCCGTTTTCTAAGTGGATCTCGAAGATTGATTCTAAGCGGCAGATTCCCGTCAACGCTATCATACTATCATGCACACTCAGTTGTCTTGTCTCGCTCATCAACATTGGCTCCAGCACCGCCTTCAATGCCATCATCTCACTCAACACGGCCGCCCTGATGTTCACCTATACAATCTCCATTTCTTGTGTCATCTACCGCAAGATCTGGTATCCTGAGACCCTCCCCGTTCGTCGTTGGGATTTGGGACGCTTCGGATTGCCCATCAATATTATCGGGTTGGTGTATTGCGTCTTTGCGATGTTCTGGTCTTTCTGGCCAACCGAGCTGCCTATCACTACCGATAACTTCAACTGGAGCGTTGCCATCTTCGTTGGCGTCTTTATTATTAGTCTTGTGATGTATGTCTTGAAGGGACGGAAAGAGTATCATGGACCTGTGGTACAGGTCAAGCAAAATTAGAGGGCCCGGTTGGAGATTGTACAGCTAGCTTGTCTATTTAGTCACCCTGAATCGCCTAAGGCGAAGCTCATCCACGTGCTTGAGCCAGTTTCAAAAATTGCGTGTAATCTCCTTCACAGTGAAGTGCATTACGCACACTTCAATAAAGGAATGATATTGAGAATGGAAGAATATTAATAATAATACGGGTAAGAGAAGAGAGTAACTGAAATTATACGTGTAGCCACATGAAGCAGCGTCTAGCCAACGAGAGTGCCAGCTCACCTCTCAGCAGGCTCTGGTAGTGGCACAAACTGACAGTCAGGTCAACCACTCTATGACCCTCAGTAAGAGTTCCAGACACGAACATAATCGACCTCCATCTGCACAGCCTCACCATCCAGAGTGGCAGAATTAGGCTGACCCGGCCAATTCCCACCCACGGCAACATTAAGCAGCAAGAAGTGGCCCTTGTGTGCGATTGACTCCCATGTAGGCGAGTCATTGAATCTAGACCCAGATATTTCAAAGGTTTTCTTGCCATCGAGATACCACGACAGTGTTTCTTTTTTCCATGCGTTCCTCCCTACATTTTCTTCAGCAGCCGCACGTCGGTCAACCTCGAAACCAAGTATATGCCAGTCACAGCCAGTCCATGCCACACCACCATTTCCAATACCATTATACTCGTTGCAAGGGCCCCCGGGTGCATAACCACAATGAAGTGTACTATACACTCTATCATATGGGAGTATTTACACCCTACTAGAGTGGAATTAGGGTTTTTGGCTTAAGTATGGGAAGGAAAAGTGGGGAGAATTGTTATGAGATGTAACAAGTTTGCGATACTATATATATCGGGTCCTAGGTTATATCCGCTGAACGCGGATATAGTGGTCTTTTTGGCCTACGTTAGATATCAGGTGACCTAGGCTGATATCGTAATAACATAGTAGGGTGGAATTAATATTTTGGAGGTAAGGTAGAATTATTTCTATACTTCGTACGAAGCTTAAAATTTAGGAAGTTCTAAGTTAGTATTAGAACTATCCACTAATTTAATTTCATCATCGTACGATGCCTAGAAAAGGTATAGTAAGTTTTTGAAAATTCTATAAAAATTTTAATAGGGTTAGATTAGGAATATATCTTAGCTATAATCTATATTAATATTATATATCTTTCCTTCTACTTCCGACTACAGAATATACTATCTTCTAGAATTATCTAACTATATAAAGTAGCTATAATTATACCCTATTACTCGTATAAGTATTAACTAGCTTGGATAGATAATATCTCTCTATTCCCGTTCTATCCCGAACTCGCTATAACTATATATACTATATTAGTATAGATATCAGCCTATATGTTAAGGAAGTATCTACTTTACAGGGTAGATGGCCTGTCAACTAGGTAGGAGAGGAAAGCACCAAGTCAGATTGAGACAAAGACTGTTTCTTGAGGAAGATGAATCCCACTTCCTCAAGCATCTGTTTAAATACATCATCTTTTGTGCAAACAGGAATCAAACACGAAGTAAGGGGGAAACCATGGCGAAAGGCCACCGCATGGCCAACGCATGGCACATACTGTGGGTGCGGCCTGCATGCAGCGTGGCTGTCGCGTATCGCGGCCGAGGGGCCACCGACTGACCGCCGGATGGCTACCGCCTTGGCAGAACCCTCGGTCCAAGCATGCCTGAGGCCCCAATATCAGTGTGTGAATAGTCTCATCGAAATATCATAACACTATATAAGCGTGTGTGGCTATATAAAGTTAGTTAACCGTACGGCCCGCTAGCTAACGGCCCGGACCGGACTATCGTTTTTCCTATCCTTTCTCTAGGGGAAAACTATATCTCTTTAATAGAGAGTTTTATATTAGTAATCGGCTAATCTAGCTACGGATACTAATATCTAGTAACTTCCTATTCTATTAATTTATTAGATTATCGATATATAATCGGATTATCGATTAGGTTAACTGTTATGATATTTCGATGAGACTATTCACACACTGATATTAGGGCCTTAGGCATGCGTGGACCGAGGGTTCTGCTAAGGCGGTAGCCATCCGGCGGTTAGTCGGTGGCCCCTCGGCCGCGATATACGACAGCCACGCTGTATATAGGCCACGCCCACAGTATATACTATGCGTTGGCTATGCGGTGGCCATTCGCCATGGTTTCCCCCTTACTTCGTGTTTGATTCCTGTTTGCACAAAAGATAATGTATTTAAATTGATGCTTAAGGAGTGGGATTCAAGCTCCTTAAGAAATAGTCTTGTCTTAATCTGACTTGGTGCTTTCCTCTCCTACCTAGTTAATAGGCTATCTACCCTATAAAGTAGATACTTCCTTAATAATTCTGTTTCTTCTTCTTTAACTACCTAGGAGAGATGGTACCTAGGACTCGCTCTACTCCCTCTACCGAAGAGGCACCGAATATCTCTCGAAACCTTAACGAGTTAACTACTGTTAAGGATGAAATACCTTATAACGCTTAAACTACCCTACCGGACCTTAACGATAGCCTCGTAGCTGTATAGGCTACTATCGAGAAGCTTTAATGTTTGAAGGACTTATAGGATTAAGCAGACCGCCTTAAATCTAAGGTTCTAGGTCGGAGCTATAACGATCTCCCGCCGATTCCCTACCGGGACTCCTTCTAGTCGTCTAGAAAAGACTAAGAGATTAAGCTCAAAAACCTACCTATCTTTACGCTAGACTACACTCTCTAGAAACGCTAGGAGTAGCTTCTCGACCTATAATAAACGTTCGAGGGTGCTCTAAAGAAATACTATAACGATCGCACGAAGATCCTTAAAGCTATTAGCTATATAAACCTAACCTATCGGTAGAGATAGTACCGATATACTAAAGAAAAGGGACCGACTCTCTTACGAGACCCTAAGGAAGACTAGCTTTACTTTAGGGATTAGACCCTAACTCTTATTAAGAATACGGCTAGTCTTAAATCGGATATTATAGGATAGCTTAAGAGAACCTACTAAGGCTAGGATAAAGACCCTCGCGAATTCTATATACGCCTAGATACTCTAGAATAATACTTTCTACGATCGGTAGAGAAGGAGAGAGCCCTTACCTTCTTTATAAAGCTTACTTTCGGCCTTTAAAACACTATCCGTCTCTATGTACTTAAGCTACCCGAGATACGCGAAGAGATAATCGACGTTACCTATTACTTCTAGGAACTAAATAAATTAGAGGCGGAATATAAGCGAAAACGCGACGATAGGCCGTCGGATCCCTCACGAAGGAGAACCTTTAGGGATCCCTTATAAAAACCCTAATAAGATAGTCCTCCTCGTCTATAGAGAGGGGGTTACCGAGGCCGAGGATACCGAGGAAACGGTCGCTAAAGAGGTCGTTTCCCTAGCTATAATAACGGATTTACTCGCGAAATACTAGTAAGAGATAGCCGAATTACTTCCGACGAAGGATTAGATCATATTACCTATTATAGATATAGCGAGAAAGGATACTACGCCACCGACTACCTAAAAGGACCTTACGGGAAACCGGCTAAGGTATAGAACGCCTAGTAGGGAAACGGTAGCGAGACGGAGTAGACCCTATACCTTTATCTCTCCCTCTAGTAGGGACTTATACTCGCTTTTATATACCGATTACTATCTAAAACGATATCGAAACCTACGTAGATCTCGATAGTAAAGCTAAGGTTAACCTTATTAGCTTCGAATTTATTAAAACCTATTAATTTTAATAAGTAATACTAATAGAACTAATTATCCGTACTATTAATAATCGCTTAACCCTAATATACGGAGTTTAGAGTATTCTAATAATCGTTACCGATTCGAGGGGTATTATGACAGATCCTAGTGTATCGGGGGCTGATCCACATAGGACGAAAGGGGACTAGGCAGTAGCTTCCTCTTGGTCATAGGATCCTACTGTCTAGGAAAGGAAAGAATGTCTTGAGAACAATAAAGTCGATTGAACTGCTGGCTAAA